GAGGGTAGGAGGAGGGTCTAGGTAGTTTGTATTCCTAAGTCTCAGTTCCTAAGCCTCATGCCAAACCCTGAACGCTCGGTACTAAACCCTTAGCCGGACTCCCACCATGGCTAGAGCCCCAACTCCGCGCCGTAGTGGAAAGAGTCTACACGAATCCTCCCAAACATGCTTGAAAGAACAAGTTGTTGGGGCCTATAATACTCACCAGTACCATGTGGATGCAAACTTGAGGTACCCGACAAAATATACCAGGCATATAGGACGATAATATCGGTAACTGCTTAGGCCCCTACAGGACCTTCATGCTAAGTCTGGGCTCCCCAAAACCCTTTGTATTCCCTGACATGAAAGAAACCTTGAGAATGCCGTGTAGACCCCTGTGGAAAGCACGGAGATGTTTGAAGAGCCTCTTTTGGGCCTCCATGCTTCTCGGGGTGAGTTGGGGAGTGTCATGCTTCAGTAAATGCACATCTTTCTTCTGAAGGCCTGGTTTTTGTCCTGTATGAGCCCGCTAGAAACCCCAACGTATGTTCAACCCCAACCCCAACTTTGAAAAGCTCCCAAGACCCCTGCAACCTGGTAATCCCTGTAGCCGCTTGGCCCTCACACCCTGGAGGTCCTCCAAGGTGCAACCTCCAAACCGGTACAACCCTAGTAGTTTCCATTTTCTTGTCCACTACCCCTTTACAACCCCAACATAACCCTAATAGTCTATCTACTTAAAGGGGGCTATACCGATGATCTCTGTCCGGGCGCCTGAGAGGAGCACCGTGTAATCCAAGGCTTCGGCCACCTTTGGATCCAACTTGCCGGACCTGGGCGAAAAGGGACGCTGCCGCTTGGATCGAGGCATACCCCCAATATAACCCCAATATATTAGAGTAGTTTCCAATATATTATAGTAGTTTCCATTTTCTTTTCCATTATCCCCAATATAACCCCAAAACATTGGTTCGTTTTAAGGGTGAGGGGCTTTGGACGGCTTCAGGGCTTAGGAGCGTCTTCAACCAGTGGGAGGGGGTAGTACACGGTCGACAGTTGAGGGCATCGAGTGCAAGCCAGGAGCGGGCCCAAACACACACAACATACTGTAGAAGCCAATAGATAATTAGAATAGGCCTTTGAGGGTAAACAAGCACACTATCATCATCCAAGGACTGCTGAGGACAGGGAATGCGATGGTATGGTTCAGGCGATAAATTAAATTGAAGAAGAAGAAGAATGTGCAGGGATTCAGGGGCCATGGCTCAAGGTTCGGTTTTTGAGCCTTCCGGGTCGAGGCTGGGACAACATGTAAAGGTTCAGGATATCACGCCTTTCGACAATGAGATGATACAGGGTGTAGGGATGACACCCCAATGGTGCAAAATCAAATGGCAAAACGGGAAATGACATGGAAACTCGGGTTGTGTTCGAATGTAACTGATGTTTGGGGCGGGGGGAGGGGGGGGGGCGGGGTTGTCAAAATCATTGATCGATTTTGGTCCCCAGCCCGACACGGGTCCAAATGTTTGGGGCACCCAAAAGAAGACTATACGTTTTGCACCCTCCAATGGTTTTCAAGCGGGATACAAGGCAGGATCATGTGTAATCTGTATTCATGGTGTTGCAAAACCTACATACCAGAAACAGAACAACAATCCTACCTCAGAAAAAGTATAATTACACACATCCTGGGAAAGAAAGACCCATACCCCTTTCTAAAATACTCTTACTGATTGTTAAGCCACCAAAACTGGGCCGTGCGCTACGAATCTTGAGCTTTTCTGAATCACCGTCCCCTTCGGGACCCTACAATGCTCGGACTACAAGGAGAAAGCTGCGTGATCACTCATGCTGCAACTTCTTCCAAAGAAGATGCACTTGGCCGATGTAGAATTTCTTGGTAAGCGTTCATGAAGGGGGCGGGTGTAGGGCTTACAGCGGCCTTAATGCTGCAACAAGCATTACATTCAGTATGCAGCAAGGTGTGTATACGCTTTCTCAGAGCGGCACTGGAGAAACCCCTGCATTTGTTGCACCTTCTTGCTGGCCTCCAAGCAAAGGAGTCACTACCGTGTTGCTGCAGTGCTGTACCCTGAAGCAAGCAGGGGTACAGAAGAACTGTATTACCTTGGGGTGTTTAAGCGGGACCCTTGTTAGCCATATGGATGACTACCAGGATTGGTACAGTTCCTGTGCTCACCTCTGCTCTACTGTTTAGGGACTTTTACCATGAACACACAGTGTCTACTAAAGCCTAAACCCTAGACCCTGAACCCTAAACCGTAAACCCTACCATGTCCACCATGTTCTTCATGCGACCCAAAGCGTAAGAAGTAGCCAAATGCCGCAACCTTGAACTGCGTAGCCCGCTGCGTGCAGTTTAGGGTTTACGGGTTTAGCGTTTAGGGCAGAATGAAGTCTTGAAACCGTATAGCGTCAATCATACCAACTCAGTAATGCGAACGGCAACATGAGAAATAGAGTAAATGATAACAACTCATTTACTCCGTTTGTAGCAACCCACATAGAGTCAATCATAACAACTTAACCCAAATCGTCATCATCATCATCATCATCAGCAGCATCATAATCATCGTCATCATCGTCATCATCAAATACTAATAGCCGCAGTAATACTACTGAGGATAACAGTAACAATAATAATAGTTATAGTACTAGTAATAGTCAGTAATAGTAAGAACAATGATGACCATGTAACCATCATCCAAGAACAACCCTCCCCCCCAGTCCTCCAGGTCTTCACCCTCCTCGGGCAGCACCATGCCGTGGCATGGAAGGATGCGATGATGAACCTGCTTTGCTGTCTAGGGACTAGGATAGACAGGTAAGTGCTAATACGGTATAGGTACCTGCGCAGGGAACAGGGTAGTACCGTGGAATACATTGGGTTTCGTATTGAGGGGGGGGGGGTGATTTCGGCAGAGGTCATCAGCAAGTTAAAGCATGGCTTATAGGGACTATAATTGTTGGTCAAATCATGGGACTACCATCCATCTAACCCCAATTACCTCTAGTACAGCCTGACTTCGTGGGAGCCCATAGACACGGGGGCGAGGGGGGATAATCTCCACATGATCATGTACGTGCTACAATATGCATTAAGTCCCACCGCCAATAACAACAATAGGTTTGGAGATGAGTCTGGACCCGTGAAGCATTTTTGCCGCCAGTATCTCCATTGTATCACCTGGATCTCAATTATGGATACGACCTTGCTACCAGATTAGTTTACCACAGGTACTATTGCAGGTCAATGTCAATCATTGCACCTTCAATACTTACAAGCTAAATCAAACCCACCCTGCGCCCCACCGAACCCAAAGCTCCTGCACCTAACTCCTCAACCCTTGCGCCCATAAATGTACCTGCGCTGGAGTTCTGAATATAACACACAACTACAATCTTAGGCGTGCACCCCAAACCCCAGAAAAGGCGCCTCCCGAATCACCTGCAAAGCAGTTTTCCTGTCAGGAGCCGCCTGCCAGCTTGCTGGTGGTATGGCCGGGTACGGGAGGAAGGCATCCTGAAAGTCAATACAATCTGTATACTTGAGTCCAGACATTGGAACCTCCCCAAAGAAGGGCCTCTCATTTACAGAACGCCCCCAATTTTCTTAATGAAGCTCTTTGCTTTCATAAATTTGCCCGAATATAGATACCACCCACATACCCGGGTAATCTTGATACGTATGGGGAGGTCATTATCGGAGTGAAGGTGATTTCCAGGTTGGGCTGCCGGATCTCCACGCAAAGACTAGCACAGGGCCATGTGTTCTTCGAACAAGGCTCTGTAAACCTTACCTGAAAAATGTTGAGGTTGTGTTGAGGACTCTTGGTGTCTGAGGAGGCTGATGCTGCTGAAAGACGTATGTCCATCTTCAACTGGTCCTGAACCCTAAGCCCTAAATCCCTAAACCCTAAGCCCTAATCCGTAAATCCTAAACCCTAAACCCTAAATCCCTATACCCCAAACCCTAAATCCCTAAACCCTAGAGACTCTAAATGAACTACACCTTTCCCTGTACCTCAAACTCTCAACCCCAGACCGGAAAAGGAACGCTGCAGCAACCTGGTTGTAGCAGGTTGCAGCTTCTAAAGGCTGGAGCCTTGTCGGTTAGCTGCATTGGGTTTAGGGGCTGGGGTTTAGGGTTTAGAGCTCAGGCTTATCATGTATGTAACCTGTGTGTCACCTTGAGTAGGAGAAACTAGCAGCACTTCTGCATCCTGCCTCCTGCGAGCACCCTAGCATTCAAAACCTCGAGCCTCAAATTGCAATCCGTGTGTCTCCGTACAGGATCCACATCAAAGCGTGTATCGTGAAATCCCATTTCAAACATATTTATGTACATCTTGGCGAACCACGCAAAGGAAAAGCCTATGAAGCCCATCCAGGCCCATAACGGAACCAAAAAGGGAACCCCTCAATCAGCTTCTCTTTTTCCCAACATCTTTTTTTTGCAAGCTTAACCCTGAACCCTATACGGCTGCCGGGGACAGATGGCCCATGGTGACAAGGCTCTAGGGTTCAGGGTTGGCAGTTGGAAGAGAGAAAAAGCTGTAGCGTTCAGGGTTTAGCATTTAGAGGTGAGGGCTTCCTCATAATACGCACAAAGCTTAGAAGAAACTTACCGCCGTCGCATGAAGCCGGGCGCACGCTTTTGATCATGAAGCCGCACAGGCTCGAGGCACGGGTGGCCCCAATGTTTAGGGTCTAGGGTTGAGGTTAAGGGGTGAGGGTTAAGGGGTGCCATGAAGCGTGTGAAGCTGCTACAGGCAGCTTGTCATTACGAAGGGTTTTGGCTGCAACTATTCTAATGCTTGCGATAAAACGAAATTACCCCAATCTTCCTAAGCAACCCGAAACACTAAAATCTAAACCCTACATAGGGGGCGGATCAGGTAACCTCTGCTATAATACTGTAAAGAATCTGGAGCCATATTGTTGCTAATCATTTAGAGGGTTTAGGGTGTAGGCCCCTAGATTAAGGCCCCCCATCACAGCTTGGGCATGATGCGAATGGCTTGGCCCAGCTCGGTCCCACAGGCGTTGGTAGGTACCTTGAGATGACTGGGTCGCTGCCAAAGAAACTAATGAGTGAAGTTGCTACTAGGTGCTACTATAAGGGAATCCTTTTATTTACTATGTATGGTAACTTAATTAACTTAAGTTCCTTAACAGCTACTGAGATGAGCAGTTGGTGCATTCAGGGCTCACAAACTACCGTGTTATGGGGATTTCCATTAAGTAACTAGAGGCACTTGTTTGGGCGGGGTCCGTATAAGAAGGGTTATCTTATAAATTGTAGTTGGCCCCCCGAGTTTTTCCAAATGCCCAAATCTGAAAAACAAAGAAATCTTGAAGCTTATATGTGCTTTCAGAGGGGATGCTACGTAGAGCAGCAAGAAGTAGGGCAGAGGTACATCTGTGCAATCCCTATGCAGGGCAAAGGGACACACAATCAAAGGAGAAAATACGCATTGCAGTACTTAGGAACAAGCCCTGGCCATCTGCTTCTGGGAGGAAGGCTTCTGAGGGAACAGATTGCAAGTGGCCCTGCGGATAGGTCCAGGTTGGGCGGGAGGCCACAAATCCACATCAGGCCCAGCGAGGAGAAACAGGGGGTCTGGGCCAGATCAGGCCCTGTGGCCCAAGGGAGCTCAAACTTTCACATGTGTACTGATTTCTTGACAGTAAACACAGGCCAATGGCCAAGGGTGTTTTCATTGCAGAACAGCTAGGGGTCCTAAAGGGACCGCACACATTTGTTTAACACTCAGACCGTCAACATTCACTGAGCCATGCACAGAATACGCAGCATTGCCAGACGAGACTCTGCTACCATCCACCAGGTGACAGGCACGGCTCAGAGGTTTCCCTGCAAAGAAAACCCGAGAACAGTCCCCACTCAAATCTACTACAGTCCTCAATTCGAAGCCCCAAGCTTTGCACCCTCAACCCTCTCTTTCCCATTGGATCCGAAAAATGGCTTCTTCAAGCAGGACTAAGCTCTGGTTCTACACTCCACATCCGAGCCTCCCAAAACAAAGCTGGAAACCAAAGAAACCCACTGTAAAGATGACTGTGCTTTTCAACGCAGTTGTATGGGGCTCTGTGCTAGTTTGGGCCGGAATAATGTTGATGCCCCTGCAGAAACAAGCAAGTGAACGGACGATTCACATGCAGCACGGCGGCAGGCTGCTGAGGAAAGTCTGGCCAAACCTGAAAACGATGATTTGCGTTGAACGCTCATGGTTTGTGTTTTAGGGATCAGGGTTTGAGGTTTAGTGTTGGGGGTTCAAGGGTTCAGTCTTGGTTCTTGACTACGGAGAGGGCCCTTTCGTGGGGAATGCCATGCCTACATCCCAAAGCCACCTTTACCCTTCGCCGCAATCAGACCAGTGTGAGAAAAGGGCCCATCCCCATGGCATGAGTTGCAGACAACAGTGGATTTGTATGGAGGGCCGGCATCATCAAAAACAACAAAGAGCTCAACAAGAGTCAATATACACTGTAGTTTTCTCGACATCATGACTTGAGTTTGGGGATCCTGGTGATGCGGAGTATGATGGGCAAACAACGGGCATCTGGTTTTGAGAGAGTCCAACTTGCCGTATATCAGGCCCGCTCCAAGGCATGGTCAAGAAGACGGTTAACACAGCTCAAGACGAAGGGTAAAACACGATACAGCGTCCATGACTTTCATTGAGGGACTCTTCCTGCAAGCGAGCCCACGTAAAGACAAACATACGAAGCTATAACCCAAAACGGGGATGTAGTCTTATATCTTATCTGGGGCACCATACTGTCCCCCAACCCTACCCTAAACCCCCAATAGTAGTTTCAATTTCATTTTCTATAGGCAATTCTCCGTTATTGGGATTATGCCCCTACCCTAAGGGTCCAAGTACTCAATACTCATATACTTACCCCCAAAAAAAACGTACTACAACTACTATTACCCAAATCCGTTATTGGGTACATGGACCCTTTGGGGCTATAGACCCTAAACCCTAAA